AGGAGCTTGGCCGTGTCCTCTCCCCGATGCCTGAGATCCCTGTGCTGCTGCCTCTGGCAGGAGGGTCAGGCATGTGGGGTGGGGCTGCCCCTTGCGCCCAGAGCCCCGGCTGAGCACCCCGTGCCCCCTGCAGGCGGGCACCGTGGTCTGGATCGGCATCCTGGTGTACACAGACCCGGCCGGACTGCGCATCTACCTCACGGCCCAGGTGACGGAGCAGAGCCCGCTGGGCGAGGGCGCCCTCACTCCCGTGCCTGTGCCTGGAGGCATGCTGCCTGCCAGCCACCCGGACCCCGCCTTCTCCATCTTCCCACCGGATGCCCCCAAGTTCCCTGAGAACCACACGTTGCCAGGGGAGATGCCCGAGTCCGGGGGTCTGGCCGAGGTCGTCCCTGACAGCCCCGCCCCCGAGGTCACCTGGGGGCCCGAGGACGAGGAGCTGTGGAGGAAGCTGTCCTTCCGCCACTGGCCGACGCTCTTCAGCTACTACAACATCACGCTGGCCAAGCGGTGGGTCGGGCTGCGTGCACCTCCCTGGTGGTGTCAGCCCACCGTCCCCAGAGCGTCCCTTCCCCCTCGGGGGGAACCCCCTGGTTTAAATGCTGTTTCCTGGCCGGCACTGCAGTGCTGGCTGCGCGGGCGCTGGTGTCTGTAACTGTAACGAGCAAGGCTGAGGGGCCAGGGCTGGGCTGGGGAGGGGCCTCCTGGCTGAAGCTGCCCCCGGCCCTGTCCCAGGTACATCAGCCTGCTGCCCATCATCCCCGTCACGCTCCGCCTGAACCCCAAGGAGGCCCTGGAGGGGCGGCACCCTCAGGACGGCCGGAGCGCCTGGCCCCCGCTGCAGCCCAGGCCTGGCGGGCTCTGGGAGGCCGGCCCCCAGGGGCCGGGTGTGGCGCAGACCCACGGAGACGTCACCCTGTACAAGTAAGGCCCGAGTGGGACGGCTGCCCGGGACTGGCCTGGGCGCGCCTGACCCACCTCTCCGCAGGGTGGCGGCGCTCGGCCTGGCCGCCGGCATCGTCCTGGTCCTGCTGCTGCTCTGCCTGTACCGTGTGCTCTGCCCGCGCAACTACGGGCAGCAGGGCGGTGGGCCGGGCCGGCGGCGCCGCGGAGACCTGCCCTGTGACGACTATGGCTACGCGCCCCCCGAGACGGAGATCGTGCCCCTGGTGCTGCGTGGGCACCTCATGGTGAGTGCGGGTGCCTCGGCCGGCTGCCCCTGCCTCTGTGCCCGTGCCCGTGCCCATGGCCGTGCTGTGCCCACAGGACATCGAGTGCCTGGCCAGTGACGGCATGCTGCTGGTGAGCTGCTGCCTCGCGGGCCACGTGTGCGTGTGGGACGCACAGACCGGGGACTGCCTCACGCGCATCCCTCGCCCCAGGTAGGTGTCTGTCACAGTCAGGCTCCCACCCCTGCTCCCTCGCCGTCCTGTCCTCACCCACCCTCCCGGCCCCGCAGGCAGCGCAGGGACAGTGGCGGTGGTGGCAGCAGCAGTGTGTTCGAGGCTCAGGAGAGCTGGGAGCGGCTGTCGGACGGCGGTAAGAGCAGCGCAGAGGAGCCTGGGGACAGCCCTCCACTGCGGCACTGTCCCCGGGGCCTCGCGCCACCTTCCGTCTTCGGGGACCAGCCCGACCTCACCTGCCTGATCGACACCAACTTCTCTGTGCGGCCATGGCTCTCAGAGCCCACTCAGCCTGAGCCCCGGCACCGGGCAGGCTGCGGCCGCTCTCGGGACAACCCGGGCTACGATTTCAGCCGCCTGGTGCAGCGAGCGTACCAGCAGGAGGGGCTTGCCCCTGTCCATGCACAGACCCTGTGCCCTCCCTCCCCTGGGCCCATGCTGCCCCAGGCCCCTGAGGACGAGGGGGGCTCTCCCCCCGAGAAGGGCACCCCAGCCCTCGCCTGGGCTCCCAGTGCCGAGGGCTCCATCTGGAGCCTGGAGTTGCAGGGCAACCTCATCGTGGTGGGCAGGAGCAGCGGCCGGCTGGAGGTGGGCAGGGGACTGGAGGGGGGGCAGCGGGCTGCAGGCGGGCAGGGGGTGGAGGCGGGCAGGGGGGGTGCAGGGGGTGGAGGCGGGCAGGGGGGTGCAGGGGGCTGCAGGCGGGCAGGGGGGTGCAGGGGGCTGCAGGCGGGCCGGGGCTGTGGCCTCTCCAGCCGCAGCTGCTCATGGCCGGGGCCTGCAGGTGTGGGACGCCGTGGAGGGCACACTGCGCTGCAGCAGCGAGCAGGTCTCCTCGGGAATCACGGCCCTCGTCTTCCTGGACAAAAGGTGAGCGCAGGCATCGGCCTCGGCCCATGTCCCGGCCTTGCTGGCCAGGCCGCACTGAGGACGCCCTCACTCGCCTCCCTGCGTGTCCCTGCAGTCCCCCTGGGGCAGCAGGAAGCTCTTCGAGTCAGGCCGACACCCAGTGCGCTCCAGGCCCCCGAGCCAAACTGTAGCCACGGGAGGTGAGGACCGTTTCCCCTTTCCCTCCTGAGGGCCAAGCTCTCTGGCCTCGATGCTGACTTCCTGGGTTTCTTGGCTGCATTTTCAGTTCCAGAAAAATGCGCGTTCAGAAGAGCCTGTTTAAACCTTTCTTTCCCGTTGCTGCTGGCCCGTTCCTCTCCCTCCCAGCAGTCGTGGCATAGCCGTCCCCTCTGCACACTCTCTAGGGGCGGCTCTCAGCCCTGGCAGTGCCTCCTGCTGCTGCCCCTGCCTGCCCCAGGCCGGCTCTGCCTTCCAGGGCCTGACCATGTGGCACCGTCCACGCTAGAGCTGGAGCAGGAGAGGAGCCACTTGCCTTCAGCTCCGATTTCTGCTGCCCGCCACCATTCCTGCCACCCCCGACTTCTGGCACAGGCCCTGGCCCACGTCCTGCCCTCCAGCCCTGGAGGTCTTCCCTGCTGGCTCCCTCTGCTTTAGGGAGAGCCCGCATGTCCCCACCAGCCTCCAGAGCTCCTGGCCCTCCCATCCACAGGCAGCGGCTGGAAACATGCAGTGCCGTTGGCTGTGGGCGGCAACTTGGACCCCTGCTCACTTCCAGGCTTTGGGGCCACTGGGCACAGGTCCACATGTGCCTGGGATTCTGAGGAAAATCCCGGTTTCGTTGTGGGAAAATAAATGGAGGGGGTGGTGCTTGCTTCTGTGCGACTCCTGTGGCTCCCGGCTGCGCAGGCCCTCCGCGTGCTGGTCTCTGATTTGCACGTTCCCACGAAACGCCCAGGTGTCACACGGATTAACTCCTTTTCTCGGGACCGCCCGTGAGGTGGTGCTGCTGTTCCCATTTCACAGATGAAGCACTGAGGCGGGTCATGGAGTTGCCATCTGGGCCTCTCCCGCATCTCTTCCCAGCCCCCGTCCTTCCCTCCTGGCGCCCAGCGGAGCTGAGCCTGTCCAGTCTGGGCTCAGGGAGCCACCTGGCGTGCTTTCCTTTCAGGATTGTGGCTGCCCGGCTCAACGGTTCCCTGGACTTCTTCTCCTTGGAGACCCACGCTGCTTTCAGCCCCCTGCAGTTCCGAGGTCAGTGGCCTGGCCTGGGCAGGTGTGTCTGACGTGTGGGTGAGGGGCCGCCTGCAAGGGGCTGACCCTCCGCTGGCCTGTTCTCTCCAGGGCAGGGCAGCTCTCCCGTGGCCCCCGTGTACAGCTGCAGTGACAGGGTGGCCTGCCGCCTGACCCACACCGTGCCCTGTGCACACCAGAAACCCATCACAGCTCTGAAGGCAGCTGCCGGGCGCCTCGTGACCGGGAGCCAAGACCACACTCTGAGGGTGAGTGCGGGCCCGTCTCGGGCACTGGCGTGACGGGGCGCAGGGCGTGGTGGTTTGGGGTCAGGGAGAGGCTGCGGGTGCCCTCGATGTGCTGTGGGAGGGACTTCCTGCCTAAGGTGTCATTTGGAAAAACCGAGACTGGCACCTGACGCCCACCCGCAGGTGTTCCGTCTGGAGGACTCGTGCTGCCTCTTCACACTGCAGGGCCACTCGGGGGCCGTCACAGCTGTGTACGTAGACCAGGTGAGCACACGGGCGGTGCCGGAGAACAGCGTGGGCCACCGCCGGGGCCTGGGGCCCCCCAGTGGACACCCAGCTCCCGGCTCGCTCCCCTAGACCATGGTGCTGGCCAGCGGAGGACAGGACGGGGCCATCTGTCTGTGGGACGTGCTGACCGGCAGTCGGGTCAGCCACATGTTCGCCCACCGTGGGGACGTCACCTCCCTCACCTGCACCACCTCCTGCGTCATCAGCAGCGGCCTGGACGACCTCATCTGCATCTGGGACCGCAGCACAGGCATCAAGCTCTACTCCATCCAGCAGGTAGGCGGGGCCCGCGGGCTCTCGCGGTTCAGGGAGGGACTCCAGACACTGAGCCTGTCCTGTCCTTGCCTCTAGGACCTGGGCTGTGGGGCCAGCCTGGGGGTCATCTCAGACAACCTCCTGGTGACCGGTGGCCAGGGCTGTGTCTCCTTCTGGGACCTAAACTACGGGGACCTGCTGCAGACTGTCTACCTGGGCAAGAACAGCGAGGCCCAGCCCGCCCGGCAGATCCTGGTGCTGGAGAACGCCGCCGTCGTCTGCAACTTCGGCAGCGAGCTCAGCCTGGTGTACGTGCCCTCGGTGCTGGAGAAGCTGGACTGAGGGCGGGCGGGGGCCGAGGGCTCCGTGGAGCCAATGCCCTGGACCGAGTCGGGGTGTAACGCGTCTGGCTGTCCTGCCTCAGGACGGGAACATTAAACTTTGTACAAAACCACACCCGCTGGGGCCTTGTGAGCAGTTGCGCTTCCTCCACGAGTCCCTCTCCCCGTGCCTCCCTCCAGCACAGGGTTGGAGCCTTAGCTCAGCGGCTCCAGGCAGGAGCCCTACAAGGAGCGTCGGGGGCAGTCAGGCGGGGGAGGCATCCGTAGCCCCTCCAGGGTGTGGGAGGGTTAGGGTGGCCCCCAGCTCACCCACCCACCCACCCACCCAAGGCCATGAACGGTGCCGGGTGGTAAGCTCCCTCTTGGAGGCAGCAATGGGCAGACATGGCCACAGACAGGTTGGTTTATTCCTTCAGCAGCAAAGAGCTGGAAAAACATCAGGTCCCACAGTAGCAGGACCTGCCTAAGGCCTAAGGCCTGCGACACGTCTGCACCCCATAGGGGTGCGGGCTGGACCAGAAGGGCTGAAGGCAGCAAGGACAGGAGGAAGAGACCGGCCACCTCGGGAGGCCCTGCTGGGCGCGGGCAGGTGGGCGGCGGGCGAGACGATGTAGTGTGAGGACCAGGCGGGCAAAGCCTGCTCAGGTCTTGTTGAGCGTCCAGAGTGGATCCAGAAGGCTGAGGGGGTCGTCGGCGGGCGGGGCAGCCCGCAGCCCCTGCCCGTTGTGGGCGTGCAGGAAGTTCTGCTTGCTCATCCGCTGCTTTCCCCGCAAGGAGCTGTCCAGGGAGAAGGCCTCCGGGGTGAGGGAGGCCAGCAGCTCCAGGGAGGAGGAGGGGGGCCCCAGGCTGGGGACCTCAGGAACGGGCTGTTCCTCCTCAGGCTGGGGTGTCTCGGGCAGGGGTGAAGGGAGGGGCGGTGGGGAGGAGGAGGGGAGCTGGGTGGACTGCGGGAGACTGGCTGGCAGCAGGCCTGGGGGCTCCACAGGGCCCGGCAGGCAGGCCACTGGGGAATCCAGGCCCCCGGGCGGCCGGATGCTGAGCTTGGCGATGGTGGCCTGGATGGAGCTGATGGGCACGTCCCCCCCGAGGACCAGGTCCTGGGAGTCCTGAGGGAGGTGGTTCTGAAAAGAGAGATGGGTGAGGGCGGGACACAGGCTGTGCTGTCCCTGTCCCAGCAGGGTCCCTGCCTCACCTTCTGGCTGACGCCTGTGCCCGCTAAGGGCCTGCAGGGTGGGGGCACGCCATGGCGTTGCAGGACCTGCTCCACGTGTCTCACCACCGCCTCGTGGCAGAACCGGAGGTGCAGCTGCAGGGGCACAGGCTGGTCAGCGGGGGTGGGGGGGCATCCCTCAGGGCAGAGCCTGTCCGCGCCCAGAGCCTCACCTTCTCCTGCAGCATGTGCTTCCTCTGCTGCCGCATGCGCCGCACCAGCTGGGGCAGCTCGGGGAGCCTGTTCCCCGCCTCCACCTCCTGCACGGCCGCGTAGAGCAGCGCGAAGGCTCCTGTGCGGCCCACCCCGGAGCTGCAGTGCACGACGATGGGCGTGTGCAGGGGCCGCTGGTGCAGGTAGTGCGCGTGCACCTCCTGGATGAAGCGCAGCAGGTTGCTGGGGCTGTCGGGCAGGCCTCTGCGGGGAGGGGGGGCTAGAGTCACATCTGGCCGAGGCCTTGCCACCCTCCACGCTCCCCCCACCCAGGCGGCAGACGCACAGCTCGGGCCAGGTGGGGAAGTGGAGGTGCACGAGGGAGCGCTTGAGGCTCTGGTCGCGGAACTGCAGGCTCAGCACCCGCTCCACGTGGGTCTCAGTGGTGCGGACGCTGCTCAGTGCCAGGCTCAAGGCGCCGTGCACCATGGGCTGGCCTCTCTCGGTGGGGAAGTAGCGAGCCACCTTTTGCTGAGGGGCAAAGAGGGCGGTTAGGGGAGCTTTTCCAGGATCCCCGCTGGGCACCCACCCACCTCCCCCCCTCACCTTCTCCATCTCTGCCTCAGACACCAGCATGACAATGACCGACACTTTCTGCTCATGCACCATGAGCCAGAAGTCGGCAGCTGTGCCCGGCAGCGGGGCCTGGGTGGCCACCAGGGGCGGGCAGTATGGGGAGAGCCCCTCCACGCGGCTGGCGTTGATGTAGTCGTCCTTGCCCGAGCGCAGCACCACGCGGTTGCTGTCATACGGCATGACGTCCTGGTGCCGGTTCTTCAGCGAGTAGCAGCGGGCAATGGCGATGGAGCGGCCACGGGCGTCATGTTCCTGTGCGTCCTGCAGCTCCCGCCACACGGCATCCAGGGCCCCGGCATCGCCCAGCTGGCCCCGAAAGACCTCCAGCTCTTGCTGCAACTGCTGCAGCCTCTCAGGACGCTCATAGGGGTCCTGCTCAATCAGCCGCAGGGCCTGTGGCCGCCGGCCCTCGGCCGCGTCCACCTTAGTCGGCTGCAGTAGGGGCTGCCCACCCCCGGGAGGCTGGGTGCCACCATGCTGGCTCTCAGGGCTGGAGGAGAGCAGGTCTGCAGCCACAGTCCCCCGGCGCAGGCATGGGGGCGGGTCTGTCGCAGGGGGCCGAGGAGGTACTGGGCCAGGCCCTGGTGAAGGGGCAGGTGAAGGCACCAGGTGGGGACTAGGGGTGGCCTGGCTGGCAGGTGAGGGGCCTTGAATGGAGAGAGGGGTTGCCTGGGGGCCCAGGGGCCGGGGGGAAGGGGCAGGACCATAGGCCAGGGTGGAATGGGGAGGCTGAGGGGGCCCAGGGCTGGAGAAAGGCAGAGCCCCAGAGTGAGGGGGCAGGGGTTCCTGAGAGGGGCCTGGATAGAGCTGGGAGTGTAGAGGTGGTGGTGGCTGCCCCAGGACAGCAGGCTGAGGGGCGAAGGAGTAGGGGGGTGGGGGAGTCATGAGCCCTGGAGCCTGGGATGGGAAGAGGTGGGGATGCTGGAGTGGCAGGGGCTGCTGGGGGAGCTGCTGGGGGGGCTGGGGCCCAAATGCTGCCCGTGGGGGATGAAGCTGGGGCTGAGGCCCTATCCTCGGGGCTGGAAACCCCGTGGGGATCCCAGGAGGAAAGTGGTGCTGGGCTGGGGGTGCTGTGAGGGGCTGCTTAGGCCCCAGAGGATAGGTGTACGGCATGGACAGTGGCTGGTGTGGGGGTACTGGGAAGCAGGGTTGGGGAAGAGCAGGGGTGGGGCTTGGCCGGGGTGCTGTGTGGCTGGAGATGGGTGCCTGGACACTATCTACCGTGGTGGTGGCTGGCCGGACCCCCATCGCCAACTCGGGGCCCGAGAACTGGGGTGGGGGGGCGGAGGGCAGGCCTGCAGCTGGGGGGTGTGGGCCTATGGCCCCATAGGGCGTGCCCACCACGCCGTGCTGAGGGGAGGAGCGGGGCACGAGGCCCAGCTCTGGTGTGTAGACAGGCGCCGCGTAGATGGGGGGTCCAGGCGCCACGGCCATCGCAGTGGGCCCCGGAGCCTGGGGGCCCCTGGGCTGCATCACCTGGGTGGGTCCTGAGTAACTGCCTGGGGGCAAAGGGCCCGAGAGATAGTGGGGTCCCGCGCCCGCAGGGCCAGGGAAGGAGACCGGAGCCAAGCGGAGTGTGGCGGCCGCTCCCAGGAAGGCGTCGGGCAGGCTGCGCAGCTCCTCGGGCGGGTCTCCCATCTCCCCAGCCTCACCCTCCTCCCTGCGGGGCAGCAGCGGCTTGGGGGCTGTGGGCCGTGGGGGTGGCTTCTTCTTCAGCTCCCTGCGCGACGAGGGAAGAAGGGGAACCAGCCCAATCAGCCAACCCGGGTCTGGGCTGCAGCGCCCTGCGGTCCCGGGGCCACACCTACCTGTCCAGGAGCTGCTGGCGGGCAGCCTCACGGGCCTGGCAGGTGGACTGGGCCCGCTCCAGCAGAGCGGCCACCTTGCTCTCGAGGTCCGCATAGAAGTCCTTGCCCTCCTGGGACTTCTTCATCAGGTCCTCATAGGCTTCGTAGGAGGCCACCAGGGTCTGCAGCGTGGAGTTCCACCTGGAGGGCAGAGGGGCCGGCGGGAGGTGAGCGGCGGGAGCCAAGCTCAGGGAGGGGCTCTGGGCAGGAGCGCAAGGCCAGGCACTGACTTCTGGTCCAGCTCGCTGAGCACCCGGCGCACGGCCGCATACTGCACGTTGGCCTCGGTCAGCGCGCGGAGGACGTTGTCCTGGGCAGCCAGGTTCTGCTCCAGGTACACCCTCAGCTGGTCGTACTTCTTCAGCTGCTCCTCGAACAGCTTCTGGGGGAGTCGGGGGGGAGGACAGACACTCAAGGCTTTGCCACCTCAGGTGGAGCCCACAGCCAGGGCCCCGCCACCTGCTCCCGCACCTTCATCTCGGAGCGGTCCGTGGTGACCAGCGAGGCGGTGATGTCGTCCTTCTGGATGAGCTCCCGCAGCTGCTGCTCCAGAGACACGCGCTGGTCCCGCATCTCCTGCACCTTGGCCAGGATGCGCTTCAGGTTCTGCAGCACGGCCTGGTCCTCTGGGGGCAGCAGGGGTCAGTGAGGCCAGAGACGCCCCAGCCATCTCAGCCACGGCCCAGGAGGGGGGTGCTCACCTGGGGTGAGGGCTGGTGTGGGCAGGGCAGCCCGGACCTGGTCCAGAGGCCCACTGAGCAGGCGGAGGTTGCCAACGTGCAAGTTCATGGCGCGGTGCAGCTCACTGTTCGTGAAGGAGGCCTTTTCGTGGACCTCCATGTACTTGGCCCATTCTCGCCTCACCTCTGCCAGCTCCGCCTGGGAACCGGCCACACTGGCCCCTGCCTGGCCCACTGCCTCCTGCAACTTCTGGTCTAGCAGCTCATCCTCCTCCAGCAGGTCCCTGATGTCCTTCAGTGAGGCCTCCACGTCCGTGAACACACCTGACAGCACTGAGGGTGTGTGGGGAGGGGGCAGCCTGAGGCAGGCAGACCAGGCACCCACCCTGGCCTGTGCCCCAGGAGACAGCACCACCCTCAGTCAAGGCTTGTGGGCAGCCCAATGCTTGCCGAGCAGGCACACCCAGGGTGTGGCGTGGGGGACGGTATTTGTGCCAGGTGCTGGGAGAGGTGCACCCTCCATCCTGGGGGAACGGGACAGAAAAGGCCACAGGAGATGACATCCCCACCCACACCTGCCTACCCCCTCCCACCTTGCATGGACTGGACGAGGTTCCGGACAGTGTCGGGCCGGACGCTGAGAGCTGCACACTTCTCCATGAGCTGGGGCGGGATGTGGTTGTACATGTCCAGGTTGTCCACTGTCTCGGGATCCAGCTGCATTGAATCCATGAACTGGCTGTGGGGACACAGGACCAGGCGGGTGATGGGTGCTGACCCAAGTCCTCACATGTACAGAGAGTGCACTAGGGCGAGTCTCCCCCGCAGCTGCAGACAAGTCTGAGGCCCCAGCAGAGAGCAGACCAGCACCCTGACCTCCACCCTGAGGCTGGCCTGGCCCCAGGGCGTGCCCACCGCACTGCGGACACCACGGGCACCAGCCCTCCCACGACTCGGGCTCTCACTTAGATGGTCAGTCAAGTAAACAAGACCTGGGTCGGGAGGGCAGAGCGGGGAACACCCGCTACTACCTCCCTCTTGCGGGCAGCACCAGGGACCCACCGAGGTCTGGTGTGTAACCCCCATACCCTAGCCCCAGCCCCACACTTACTCCAGCACCTCATTCTTGTCCTCAATCTTGGCCATTATCTCTCGAAGCAGCTTGGCCTTCTCCTCACTGCAGAAGTGACAGAGCAGTTGCTGGAAGCCTCTGTCTCTCAAGACACCCCACCCCCACCTGTGCCGAGGGCAGGGCCCGCCCTCCCTCCCACCTGTACAGTGACGAGGCTTCATGGGCAGCCATGGGGACCAGCTTGGCGAAGATGTCAGGGCCTGTGACAGCTGGGTCTGTGGGGTTCACTGGCAAGGGCTTCACCAAGGGGGCACCTGGGAGAGAGAAGTTGTGGAGCCCAGGCCCTTGCAGCCCTCACGTCTGCTCTATACCCGTCCCTCCTCCCTGACCCCCAGCCTCCCCCCAGCGGCAGACCTTTCACAGGCTGAAGGGTGTCCAGGGCCGGGACAGCCTCGTGGTAGATGAAGTCATTGTCCTTCTTGGCAGAATTGTACCTGGGGGTCCAGGGCAGGGGGGGGTCTTGGATGAGCAGCAGGGCCCAGGAGCTGGCCTCTATGGGGCCACTGCTCTCTGGCACTGATGGCTCCCTCTCAAGGGTGCAGGCAGAGGGCCAAGACCCTTCCTCATGAGAAGGACCAGGGCCACCCCCAGCCCCACAGACTCACTTTCCTCCAATGACGTCCATAGCAAAGCGAAGTGCATCTTGCACCGTGTCAGGCTGGCCCTGCAGGGTAGGGAAGGAGCTCAGCACAACTCAGGCCAGTGCCAGCACCCCGCCCGCCGGCCTGCTCCCTGTACTCGGGCTCTCGGGGAAGCAGGCCCTTTCCTGGCTTTACCTTGGCCAACTTGATGGCTTCACTGAGCTTGTCCAGGGCACTCTGGAAGTACGCGACCTGTGGGGACAGTGGGGAGAGCCTGGTCCTTCCCTGCTTGGAGTCTCCTCCTTCTGCCCCCCAATGAGCCCTGCCTGGCCGTCACATGACCCACTAGAAGGCCAGAGTGCTGGGTGCCAGCCAGCCCCTCTGCAGGGAGTCTGCTATGCCTCCTCAGCTCCCAGGGATGAGGGCTGCACAGACAGGACACCCCAGGCTGCAGCAGGGGCTTTTTCAGGGGATGAGGAGGTGGGAGGCCGAGAGAAGACCACCTCCCCTATTCTGTAGGGAAGGGATCCACCGGCTTCTCACTAACAAGGCTGGAACCAGTCCTGGGTGCTGTCCTCACAACTCACTCACCTGCTCCCCGAACTTCTGCTGCTCCTCAGCCTGCTTCCCCATGTGCAGCTGGGAGGAAAGAGACATCACTACTTAGTTCCCAGGCTGTGGCACCTCAGCCCAGCCCAGGGCCAGAGGCACGGTGCCCTCACATGAGCCACAGCCGCAAAGTAGTAGATCTTCATCTGCACCAGCTTCTTCCAGTCCTTCTGGATCCGGCCCAGCAGTGAGGCGGTGTCAGGGTTCTCCAAGGCCCGGCAGGCCTCCTTGTAGTAATCCACCACCTGGGGTCCCGATGGGGTCAGTGGGGCGTCGGCAGAACACCAAAGGCCAGCCCTGAGCACATCTCCCCCATCCCTACCTGGGCGCTGATGCGGGCCACCAGGAAGCTCTTCCTGTTGTCCAACATCGACTTCTCCAGAAGGCACTCCTGAGCCTGGCCCTGGGGCAACCAGTCAGGTCCACTCCCTGGTCCACCCGAGGCCTTGCCCTTCTAGCAGGCAGACCACAGGGACATCTCTCCACACCCTCTCCTCCAGTCCCAGCCCAGCTCCTGACCCACCTGGCGCTGTCAGACCAGAGCCCAGGCCCTGCACTGCCCTCTGCTGGGCCTGTCTAGGGTCCAGCTCGAAGTCCCCTCCCTGGATTCAACTCAGTTCCCACCAGGGCACCTCCTTACCAGCATGAGGTTGACATTGAGAGTGAGGATCTGGCGGCTCATGTCGACGCTGTAGGCGTGAGGGAAGTGCTCCCGCAGGTAAGCAAAGGCGCCTGCTGCACACTGGAAGTGCGTACAGGAGACCTTCATGCCCTGGGTGGGAGAGAAGGAGGGTGGCCAAGGGCAGCACCAGACCTGGGGCAGGATTCAGCCCAACTCGGGATCTGAGAGTGCGCAGCAGCCCTCCCTGGTCACTTCCTATGTCCCGTCCACTGCCCTGCCCTGCTCACCTCCTCAGACACCCGCTTGTCCATGGCTCCCAGCATGGAGTGCAGTGCACCTGGGGAGGCAGGGGGTACAGGGTCAGTCTGGGGGTGCTCCCCACACCTGTGTTAACAGTAAGGCAAAGGGCGCAGTGTTGTCACCCATGATCAGGAAAACGGGTCTGAACTGGGGCAGTTGGTCCATGGCTATCAAAGCTGAGCAAATGGGGAAACTCATCTACGTCTGGCCAAGGCCCCCAGGCTCCTGCCTGCACCAAGCAGGGGTGCAGGTGGGCAGAGGAGAGTTCCTGTGCAGACTCTAGCCTAGAAGTCCGGTCTGGAAGCTTCTCTCTGGAGCCCAACTGGGGCCGAGTCATCAGGTTGATAGCAGAGCCGGCTGAGCCCAACCTTGTTTTCCTTCTGCCTGGAGCAGCCCAAACTCAAAAGGGGGGTTGGGAGCTGTCCAGTCAGAGCCACAGCGGCCACACCGTGGCAGCAGCCCCATAGAGCCTCTCCCCAACAGGTGGCTCCCCGAGGCCCAGAAAGGAGGCGCTGGCAGAGATGTGGGAGGCAGGGGAGGGTCCGAGTACAGGGTCCTCCCTGCACCAGCCCATGCCCCATCGCCTGCTGCGGGGCTGGCAGGCGGCTCACCCAGGTTGTAGAGGACGCAGGCCTGCTCGTAGTGGATGTCCTCGTGCGCCACAGACTTGCCCGAGAAGATCTCGGTCCTGCAGACACGGCACCTGGTCATCCTGAGGGCAGGTGAGGGCCCAGCCACCCACGTGCAGGGTGGGAGGGAGGCCCTGGGAGACACCATATCCAGCTGCTCCCCACCCTCTGCAACAGGAAGAGGGAGGAAGGGGCATCCCCAGCACCCAGACGCCCCAGTCAGCTCTCACCAGGTGACAGGAACAGCAGCCTCCTGGCCTGAACCCATGGGGACCCGGCTCTGCAGGTAGTGGAGCTGGCCCAAGTACTTGCGGAGGACGCTGCAGCCCTCAAAGTCCCGTGGGACCCGGACGGCGCTCTGGGGGCGGACGGGAGAAGCAGGCCTGCCATCACTCGGGGCTGAGGAAACGCCTCAGCGCTGGGCACTGCCCCCCCGGGGCCAGGAAAGCCCACTGCTGCGTCCGTGTCGTCCAACACACCGTCCGCGTCCCGCGTCGGGAAGGCAGTCGACAACATGCATCCAAATTCTGAATATACTCAAAACGTGACCCACAGTTCTGCACCCACAGACAGACAGAGAAATCCAAAGAGCGGCCGCCTCAGTGAGCACGAGGGACAGCGCTGTCAACAGGTCAAACAGTGAGCACCACCAGCATGCCCAGTAAAGAGGCTGGAACAGACGCACAGGCACAGAGCAAGGCTGATGGCCGCGGGGGTGGGGGGGTGGGTAAAGTACAGCGTAAGGAATGTCGTCAATAGTATTGTAATGACTATGGACAGTGTCAGACGGGTATGAGAACGCTTTGTATGATTATCAAACCATTATGCTGTATACCTGGAACTAATCTAAAATACTGAGCGCAAACTGTAACAGAAAAATACAAAGCAGCTGTTTGGGTAGATGGGGTGGGGGGAGAGAATTATTTAAGTTATGTCAAGGCTACCCACACAAGAGAATCTCCTCACAGAAAAACTGAAGATATGTTAAGATTTCCAGATCAGACGTATCATTGGGGTGAAAGTATGTAATAGATGAGGGTATGATTTCATTTATGTAACAGCATGTAGACACTGATATCCAACTGCATTATATAGACAACAATAAAGATCTACAGTTATATATGAAAATGTGAAGTGACTATCCCTGACTATCCCTGTGTGTATTTTATACACACAGATATACAGACAGACATACACACAGACATACGTACAGACATACAGATATATTTAATTCTTTATGTATTTATAGTGAACATTTTCAATTTTTATAATAAGCAATAAAGAGATTGCTATTTTCAGAAGAAAAAAAACACACAAACAAACAAAGCAAATGACCCCTCTGCTCAAACAGCAGAGCAGACGTAAACCCTCTGAGACGCAGGTGCACACAGGGGATGGGACTCGCCCGTGTGCCAGGACCGGACCCGCCCAGGTCCCAGAACTGAGGGCCCAGTGGGAAGCAGCCCACTGGCTAGAACTCCTCCAGGACTCCACATAGGACTGAAGTCTGTCATAACCATCAAACACGAGAAAGAAAGAAAAGGCATCGAAATCGAAAAAGAAAAAGGTAAAACTGACATTATTTGCAGATGACATGACACTACAGAGAACCCTAAAGATTCCACACAAAAAAGCTATTAGAATAAATGAGCTCAGTAAAGTATAGGGCACAAAACTGAGATTCAGAAATCAGTTGCATTTTATACACCAACAACAAACTATGAGAAAGAAAAATTAAGACAACAATCCCATGTACAACTGCATCACAAAGAATGAAATACCTAGGAATAAACTTAAAGACCTGTATTCAGAAAACTGTAAGACACTAAAGAGAAAAACTAAAGGAGACACAAATGGAAGACTATAAACTATTATAAAAGGAAGAATTAACATAGTTAAAACGACCATACTACCCAAAGCAATCTATAGTTCAATGCAATCCCTATCAAAATACTAATGACATTTTTCACAGAACTGGAATAATCTCAAAATTTATATGGACCCACAAAAGACCCTCAATATAACCAGAGAAACCCTGAGAAAGAACAAAGTTGGAGCACACTACCTGACCTCAAACTACACTGCTACAAGGTCAGTTATCAAAACAGGTTGGAACTGACATAAAAACAGACGCCTCGCTCTGGCTGGTGTGGCTCAGTGGATAGAGCGTCGGCTGTGGGCTGAAGGGTCTCAGGTTCGATTCCGGTCAAGGGCATGTACTTGGTTGCAGGCACAGCCCAGTGGGGAGTGTGCAGGAGGCAGCTGAATTCATGTTTCTCTCTCATCAATGTTTCTAACTCTCTATCCCTTCCTCTCTGTAAAAAAATCAATAAAATATTTTTTTTTTTTTAAAAAGAGAGAGACAAGAATACACGATGGGGTAAGACAATAAGTGGTGTTGGGAAAACTCAACAGATAAATGCAAAAAATGAAACTAGACCACTTTCCAAAACCATATGCAAAAATAAACTCAAGTGAATTAAAGATTTAAATGTAAGACCTGAAGCTATAAAACTCCTAGAAGAAAACATAGGCAATAAACTCTTTGATATCACTCTCCGCAATTTTTTGGATACGGCTCCTCAGGCAAAGGAAACAAAAGAAAAACAAATGGGACTACGTCAAACTGCAGAGCCTTTAGGGTGAAGGAACCGTCAACAAAATGAAGACACATTCGCCAATGATACATCAGATAAAGGTGAATATCAAAACACAGTATGAAGAACTCATACAACTTAACACCAGGAAAAAACACAATCTGATTAAAAAATAGACAGAAGATCTGAATAGACATCTCTCCAAAGAAGACATACAGATGTCCTAGAGACACATGAAAAGATGCTCAACATCACTAATCATCAGGGAAATGCAAATTAAAACCACAATGAGCTATCACCTCACACATGTCACAATGGCTATCAGCAATAAATCAGCAAAACAACAAGTGTTGAAAAAACAAAAAAACAAGTGTTGGCGAGGAAAAAGGAACCCTCGTGCACTGTTGGTGGGATTGTAAATTGGCGCAGTCACTGTGGAAAACCGTTTGGATGTTCCTCAAAAACTTAAAAATAGACCTACCATTACCATATAACCAAGCAATTTCACTTCTGGGTACTTATCCAAAGAAATGCAAAACACTAATTCAAAAATATATAGGCAACCCTATTTCTTTGAAAGGTGGGCATTAAAAACCCAATAAAAACAATGAACTGAGAAAAATATTTGTAGCACACAACACCAAGAAGCAGTATCATTAATACATGAATGAGTCTTATAAATTAGTAAGAAATAAAGTATAACACTCTCATAAAAAATGGACAAAGAGCAACAGCAGTCAAGTCCTTAAAGAGGATATATAACAAATACATTAGCAACTGTGAAACCTAACTATTAACCAAATAAATGAAAAGTAAATCCCCTTTCACCTATCAGACCGCCAGCACTGAAAAGGAACAGCAGGAACAGGCACACAGCTGCCAGGGAGACAAGTACATCCTTTTCTCCCACCAATTCCTACAGGAACGACCCTACCGTGAAGAGGAGCCTCAAATGGCAAAAACCGAAAATTACCTAGTGCTCTCCAAGAGGGGGCTGATTAAAATATACTTCAATGTAATGATCTCAGGCCAGCCCTAACCGGGGCTCAGTGGATAGAGTGTCGGCCTGCGGATTGAAGGGTCCCGGTTCGATTCTAGTCAAGGGCATATACCTTGGTTGCAGGCCAGCCTTGGGCAAACTACGGCCCGCGGACCGGATCCGGCCCGTCTGAAATGAATAAAACTAAAAAAAAAAAAGACCGTACCCTTCTATGTAATGATGTTTACTTTGAATTTATATTAGTTCACACAAACACTCCATCCGTGCTTTTGTTCCGGCCCTCCGGTCCAGTTTAAGAACCCACTGTGGCCCTCGAGTCAAAAAGTTTGCCCACCCCTGTTGCAGGTACATCCCCAGTAGGGAGTGTGCAGGAGGCGGCTGATCAATGTTTCTCTCTCATTGATGTTTATAACTCTATCCCTCTCCCTTCCTCTCTGTAAAAAACAAATAAAATATATTTTTTTAAAAATGATCACAGGCCATTGAAATACTCCTGTTGTATGTTCACCGATACAGAAACATATCCACAATATGTTGTGAAGTGAAAAAAGCAGGCGTATAGGTGGTATATGATTCTCCCAGGGTTTTATATAGTACCTGTGGCCCGGTGCACGAATTCGTGCACATTGAAATGAATTACAACAGTGGTTCTCAACCTGTGGGTCGCGAACCCTTTGGGAGTTGAACGACCCTTTCACAAGGGTCATCTAAGACCATCAGAAAACACATATATAATTACATACAGTTTTTGTGATTAATCACTATGCTTTCATTATATTCAATTTGTAACAATGAAAATACATCCTGCATATCAAATATTTACATTATGATTCATAACAGTAGCAAAATTATAGTTATGAAGTAGCAACGAAAATAATTTTATGGTTGGGGGTCACCACAACAAGAGGGACTGTATTAAAGGGTCGCGGCATTAGGGGGGTTGAGAACCACTGAATTAGAAGAAATATTTATTTTTTAAATATATTTTTATTGATTTCAGAGAGGAAGGGAGAGGGAGAGATAGAAACATCAATGATGAGAATCATTGATTGGTTGCCTCCTGCAGGGCCCCCACTGGGGACCAAGCCCGCAACCCAGGCACGTGTCCTTGACCGGAATTGAACCCGGGACCCTTCAGTCTGCAGGCTGACACTCTATCCACTGAGCCAAATCAGCCAGAGCAGAAGAAATATTTTAATATTCTATTCTCCCTTTCTCTATAAGTGTCAACCAAGTTCACGATCGACAATGACAGACTGAAAAACATGCATGCGATTAGTGCCAGCGAGAGCTTTATATGTATCACGCATGTGAGAGTCAACTTAGCCTCTTATAGATATAGAGTAAACTGGCTTCATTAGACCTGCTTTCTGATGTAGCTAAACTTTTTCCAGCCCAGTGAAGCACCCCAACTTCTCTTTCAGGTAATTGTCAGCAACACAGCAGTAAGTATCAACACAAAGCAGATTATTATTGTAGATCACACAGGGAGAACAAAGGGTAAATATTTAACTGCAGCCGTGTTTGACTATATTCTGTGCAGTGAGAAAACCTGAAGTCATTTTCAAGGTCCATCATTTCTTACTTCTTTTCAGTCGGGTCAAGTTTCTAAGCTTTCTAAATCTCCATTTTCAGCTAATGAAAAGAAAATAGGTTTCTACTGTGTCTCCTATCTACCTACTCCGGAACTTCTGTGAGGATCATATGAGATGAGGCACAGGAAAACGCTTCACAGACATTTGGTTAAAGTGTAAAGTGTTTGCACCTGGCTATGAAGCAAGTGGTGTTCCTGGGCTGAAGAAACTCCAAGGAGGCTAGTCACTAGGGAGAGGAAGCCGGGTGTTGCTACGTGACATCATTACCCAGAGCCCATAGCGTCTTTTCCAGGCTGGGCTGGGCGCCACATTTTGCACCATGGGGTCTTGGCAACGTCGGCTGCGGTTTGGTGGGGTGTCGCTCCGGGTGGTGGTGGGGCCTGTGACCCACTTGGGGGAGCCGAGTGTTGCTTTGTGGGCGCTAGGTCCACGGTGCCATTTCTCTGTAAATGGCCAGTGTATGTCATGGCAGCTTCTGCATTGAGCATCCGCCCCCTGGTGTTAGGTGTGCATTATAGCGACCAGACAGACACATCATATTAGCCTTTCATATATATAGATAGATTTATAGATAGATAGATACATAGTATATATAAATAAAAAATTTTAAAAAATATATAAAAATTACGAAATGACTTTTAGGATGGGTTTTTTTTTGTTTGTTTTTTTTTTTTTTTTTGCTGTTTAGTATTTTCAAATTTTCCTTTCATTAGTTTTGCTTTTACATGGAAAAGTGCTACATTTAAATAAGAACACACAACAGCAAAACTGAAAATAAAATGAGAACCCAGCTGCAGGTGGTTTCTTTACGTCCCTTCAAACCAGTCCTGGTCACACCTCATACGCGCGACCTCCTACCTGTCTGAGCAGCTCCAGCTTCTTCAGCTCCTCGTTGTAGGCTTCGGGGTTCTCTCCATAGTTCTTCAGGACAAACTGGAGAGAGAGGAGGGGAATGTAAACCAGGGAGGGAGACTCCCGGCTCCCGCTCCTCCCCGCCCCCCCAAATCTCACAATCACCAGTCAGGGTTCAGGAGCCATCCACACCACAACCACCAGCTCCACTCCTGGGCCACCAGGAGCCCAATCACGGGGCAGCACCAAGAGGCTGGCCAGAGCCGCCTCCTCTGAGCAGAATGGACGGCCCTGCGTGAATCCCAGGCTGGTCTCCACCACGCGGCAGCCTCTCTACGATGCCCAGGACTCTGCCAGCTCAGGAGGCCGGGGAACTCAGGGGTGGAATGGGATCCTAAGAGCATCCCCCAACAGGCCACACAGTCAAGCCTCCTTTAGGGTCGGACCTGTTGTGCTCTGGGTCACACCATACCCTAGCCCAGTGGTCGGCAAACCGCAGCTCGTGAGCCATATGCAGCCCTGTGCCCCCTTGAGTGTGGCTCTTCCACAAAATACCACGTGTGGGCGCACATGTACAGTGTGATTGAAACTTCGTGGCTCATGCGCAAAAGTCGGTATTTTGTGGAAGAGCCACACTCAAGAGGCCACAGAGCTGCATGTGGCTCGTGAGCCGCGGTTTGCCGACCTCTTAACCCAACAGTGTCGACAAAGGTGCCAAGCAAGAGTGGGAGTGCAAAGCCTCTTCAGCAGCCCACCCTCCTGGCTGGGAAGGCACCACAGAGACAAGTGGTCTGCAGTGTCCCCGGTGGGGAGGGAAGGCCCATGGCTGGGTGACAGGGATGAGCAGACGAGGGGCAAAGGGAAGGTCACTGCTCACACCACTGCCCAGCCACCACCTCAAGAACTGACCGCCTGGACAGTGACCACACTCACCGCCTGGAGGCACAGCCAGAACCAATGGGGGTGGGGACCGTGGCGCACAGGCCACATGACGTTTGCAGAATCATTTGGTCTGCCCTGTCACTGCATTAGGGGCGAGTTAATTAAATGTTGGACCAAATATAGCAGGCTAGATTTTTTAAGATGTTTTCTTTTTAAAAAAATTTTTTTTATTGATTTCAGAGAGGAAGGAAGAGGGAGAGATAGAAATATCAATGATGAGAGAGAATCATGGATCGGCTGTCTCCTGCACCCCCCATATTGGGGATCAAGCCTGGAACCAGGCATGTGCCCTGACCAGGAATCGAACTGCGACCTTCTGATTCAGAGGTCGACGCTCAACCACTGAGCCATGCCAACAGGGCTTTCCATTGATTTTTTAGGGGGAGAAGGAGAAAGGGGGTGAGGGGGGGAGAGAGAGAGAGAGAGAGAGAAACATCAATGTGAGAGAGACACATTGACTGTCTCCTGTATGCACCCCAACAGGGACCAGGGATCGAACTTGCAACCCAGGTACATGCCCTTGTTCGGGAATCGAACCCGAGACCCTCCTGTGAACAGGCCGAAGCTCTAAGCATCAAGTCACGCTGCTCAGGGTGAGGGAACTTTCTGGGCCTGGTCTTTCCATGCAGTGCACATACTTCTCCTCTTCCACCGGTGTCACCGTCTAACTTGTAAATGTCCTCTACTAGATTACGAATGCCAGGAAAGAAGTGTCACCTCTTACCCGTCTGTATCATCAGGGCTCAGCACAGCGCTCCCCAGGCTGACCTGAACACAACCCATTTTCACCCTGCTGTCCTACCCCTCAGCTCCAAGTGAGTATTCCTGCAGCTCAGAGCAAGGGAAGAACAGGCAGAGTGGGGGCTCCAGGGCTGGGGAGAGGAGTCCAGGTCAGGGAGAGCTCCCAGGCCACAGGGGCGTCGCCTTGTCAGGACAGTCCCAGGGTGCCCTGAAGGAGGTGGCCATGCTCAAGCGCAGCCCACCCACAGGTGGCTCAGGGGGTTCATGCAAACATGTCAGAACCTTGTCAAATAAATGGTGGCACCTTTCCCACGTCCAAAGAAAAGGAAACAAAGAAAAAGAGCAGCTCTGCCGGTGTGGCTCAGTGGACAGAGCGTCGGCCTGCAGACCGAAGGGCTCCAGGGTGGATGACGGTAGATTACGGTCGGGGACACATGCCCAGGTTGCGGGCTCGATCCCCAGTGGGGTGCGTGCAGGAGGCAGCCGATCCATGACTCTCTCTCATCATTGATGTCCTGTCTCTCTCTCTCTTCCTCTCCGAAATCAATAAAAACATTTAAAAAATAAAAGAGCAGATGGACAGGAACTTGTCTCTTGAGCGGCTGACACCTCAAGCTAAATGGCTCCTGAGAACTCCTCTTGGAGGCCCAGCTTCTCCCATGGCGGGCACCGTGTCACCAACGTGAGCCCCCAGAGAGAGCACCAGAGGTAAATTCCAACCAGGCATCTCCTAGGCCAGGGGTGGGCAACCTTTTTGTGAGTGCGTGCCAAAACCAGCAAAATCTCGGACTCAAAATTCTTCTGCGTGCCAACCCTCATTTTTTGAGAACATATTATGCCTACTTGATATCTCTTAAGGTGTACACATGTGAAGAACCTGGAAGAAATAATAAAATTCATTTGAGCGACAAAAACACGACGTGTGATGAAAAATACATTTAATGTATACATGTACACTGATAGTCCGACAGAAAACTTTATGACTCCGTTTGACATTGTCAGTGGGACTTTTGCTGCTGCGTCACTGATGACAGAGATTTAACGTCAGGTTTATATTTCGTGACCTTCAGAGATATGCACGAGCTACTACTTTCATCTGCCAGGCTACTCCTACTACGAGACTTAACAAAATTCACCACTGAGAGCAAAGATTCACAGCGAATGTGGATGAAAACAGGGAGAGTAACGCTGTTGCAAAGTTTCTTAAACAGAAAAAATTTTCTGGAATGGCATTCCAAGTCCTCAATAGTTTATTTTCGACACTTCTCTCTGGTACTCCTGGCACTCCTGTCTCTAATCGCTTTTTTTCAATGTTTTCCAAGTAAACTCTAAGGTCAATAAATTTCTGCTTCCAAATTGAGCTTCTCTGAAATTCAATCAACTGCATTTCAAAGTCAGCCATGTCTATGGTCTTTAAGATAACTTGTTATGTAAAATTATTTATTAACCTAAGATGCACCTACACTGAATCTGTGTGAAAAAAAAGTCGACATTAAGAAAAAAATTGCAAATGGAAGATTATAAGAGAGGGTTTCACGTGCCAGCAAAAGTTACTGGCCTGCCATGTTTGGCACGCGTGCCAGGGGTTGCCCACCCGTCCTAGGCGCCTCTGAACCAAGATGCTCTCCGCTGGGTTTGAGTGGAGTGAGAGGCAGCACCTCTCAGTCCCTCCCAACTGTCAGAGGGTCACCTTCCCTGGGCGCCCACCAGGCTGCGAAGGCAGGAGATGCCTCCGGTCACTCCCAGCTGAGCGGGGGTGCGGGTGGGGGTGCGGGTGGGGGGTTACCACCCAGCAGCACAGACCACCGTCACCAGAAGAGGATGAAGAGCCGGTGGGGAAGCGGAACGTCTGAGAGGCGTTTCCTGGTTTTGCGAGGAAACAGGTCCACGGAGGTTAAACGATGGGCTCCACACACCACACAAGCTGCCGGTGCCTGAAGGAACGCAGGGCGGCGCAGAGAGGAAGCTACTTCCCAGCCCATTTTCTTTCATTTTTTTAAATATAGTCAGAGAGAGGGGGAGAGAAACATCGACGAGAACATGAAGGCTGCCCCCTGCACGCGCCCCACGGGGGATGGAGCCGCCTGTGCCCTGACGGGGAATCGAACCCCGGCCGCCTGGTTCCTAGGTCGACGCGCAGCCCCCGAGCCAGGCAGCTGGCAAGCCCCTGCACCACCTGGGACACCGGGCCTCGTGCGGGTCCCCTGGGCCTCGTGCGGGTCCCCTGGGCCTCCTGCGGGCACCGGGCCTCCTGCGGGCACCGGGCCTCCTAAAGACACCGGGCCTCCTGGGTCCCTGCTTTTTCTCTCTTTTCCTCGGGCCTCGGCGTTTGCAGACACAGCTGATGACGAGGATGCCCGGCTGGTCCTTCCGCTCCTGCCGACCCTCGAGGCGACCAAGGGCCCTTCCCAGGCCGACGTCGCGGGGCTCCCGAGGCGCAGTCCGCGCACCCACCGGCCCGACTTCACATCCGATCTTCGGTCACAGGCCGCCGCCTCCATCAGCGCCAGGCCCGCCCGCGTCCTCCGACCTCCGACCGGCTCAACCCAATGTGCGAGGGCCTCCCGGCCGCTCCCGCTGCTCATCCCCGGGGGCGGCTGGGAAGGCGGAGACCCGCCCCGGGGGACGCGGCCCGGACCGAGGGGGATCCCGGACCGGGCCCGCCTACAACACGGGTCCGAGCGCCTCGGCGTCCGCCCGCCAGTCCCAGGGACCGCGCGCCCCCTCACCCTGCTCCCGGGGGGCGGCTCTGGCGTGAGGAGGGCGGGGCGGGGCTGGGTCCGAGCGTCACGCCGAGGAAGTGTGCGCCCCGCGGGCGCCGTGGGTGGCCCGGGACCGAAGTTAAACAGCGGCGTCGACGAGGCCGCGGTGCCCGCCCCGGGCGCGTGAGGAGCGGGAGCAGGGCCCCGGCGCGCGGGGGAAAGAGGCTGGGCCGGCGGAGGGAGCCGGCGGGGCCTGGGAGGGGACGGCGCGCCGGGGCGTCACGCGCGGGCCGACGGCGGAGACGCGGAAGGAGCGGGGAGGGGAGCAGCGCTCACCTTCTTCACAGCCGCCTGGAAGAGGAAGTCGCCGGCCTCCTTCAGGTCCAGCCAGATCATGGGCATGCGGGGCACGGCCTCCATGGCGGACAGAGCCCGCCAGCCGCCGGGCCGCTCCCCTCGGCCGCTCCAGCTGCTGGCTCAGCGCGCGCACTGCCCCGCCCCTCCGCGCCGGAAGGCGGTCGTCACGCGGGGATGAAAAAGGCCCGCACGGCCTTCTGGGAGATGTAGTCCCCGCCATGCCCGCGCAGCCTTGCGCACATGCGCAGTTCAGTCTCCTCCTAGAAGAGGGCCAGGAGGCTTGCGAATCTCCAGCCCGAGGCGAAAGGGCTTGTGGGAGTGGTAGTCTTCCTCCCTTAGCTGCGAGGTAAGGCGCAAGCCGGTTTCTTCCGGGCCGTACAGACCGGCCTGCCGAACGTAGGCCTCGCCGCGGGACCAGAGCCGGCTAGCGGGTGGGAGACTCTAGCGTAGCGTCGCTGCTCAAGGAAAGGCGGGAGTGGACGTGGGACCCGGGAAGACGTTTGGCCACAGGACACAGAGCCCAGGCCCGAGCACGAGCTCAGCAAGACGTCGGGATGAACAGCTGCTGGTCGGTATGGGCTGGAGCAGCAGGAAGGAAGGGGCCGGGGAGGAGTAGGAAGCCCTAGTGCAGCGGTTCTCAACCTGTGGGTCGCGACCCCTTTGGGGTCCAACGACCCTTCACAGGGGTCACCTAAGACCATCGGAAAACACATATATAATTACATATTGTTTTCATGATGAATCACTATGCTTTCATTATGTTCAATTTGTAACAATGAAAATACATCCTGCATATCAGGTATTTACATTACGATTCATAACAGCAGCAAAATTAGTTATGAAGTAGCCACGGAAATAACTTTATGGTTGGGGGTCACCACATGAGGAACTGTATGAAAGGGCCGCTGCGTTAGGAGGGTTGAGAACCACGGCCCCAGTGGGTCCTTGCAAGACAGGGAGGAGCCGGCCGGCGCAAAAGGGGGCCCTGGCCTGTCTCCCGATGGAAAGAGCCGCGTGGGTGCTGCCTCCTGAGCTGCTTGGAGCAGCTGTCCTTCCCCTTTTACGGAGCGGACCGCCCAGCCGCAGGCTCCTGGGGTGGAACTGCCGACACAGGCCTGCGAGGACCTGGTTCACGTGCCAGGGCTGCCACAGCCGGTGCGGACGTCGGGGCGGCTTCCCCGCTGGAGGCCACACGTCTGCGATCGAGGAGTCCCCACGCTGGTGTCTTGAGGCCCGACTCCTTGTTGGCAGAGCCACACGGCTGTCCTCCTGGGCACGTCCCTGGCCTAATCTCTGCTTGTGGGGACACCCTCAGGGCCTCGCTCACTGAGTCTCCCCTTTCAGAGTCTGTCTGCATGGGCGATGCCTATATGCACACGAGGTCTTTGGCTGACCCCCCCCCCCTTCCGTGTTTCGTGTCTCGATCCACCCCGTTCATCAGCTTATTTTGCTCATTAGATTCCAACAGGAGTGAGATCAGGGCTTCCTCCGCTCATTTCCGTGGGGTCACAGACAATAGGGTCCCTGGGGTCACAGACAATAGGGTGTGCAGGCCTGGGGGGGGTGGGCTGGGCCTAGAAGGGGTCACTGGGTGGGGGAGGGGACATACGTAATATTTTCAACAGTAAAGATTTTTTTTAAAAGAGTATCTACTAGAGTCATTCTCAGGTCCTGGGGCTGAGGACTTCCACACACGAACGTGGGGGGAAGGGGCACCATTCAGCCCCTAACGGTCCTGGTGACAGGAAGGGCAGTTGGTGGGAGAGGCATCCAAGGCCAGGAGGCCCTGTGGGGAGGGGCCTCGGGTGCTGAGGGATGGGTGGGCACGGGCCAGGGGGGCGGCCGCAGGGGGCGTCAGGGAAAGGTGCTTCCTCCGAGGGCACCGTTGGGAGTTTGGGGAAACAGACTTGGAAGGAATGGGGAGGCGTAGGCCCGTCACAAGGGGGCAGCAAACACCCATTCAGCCAACTCAGTCACCTCTTCGTCTGCCCCCTGTGGGGCTCGGCTACAGTGTTCGGACAGGTTCAAGCCTCGGACTGATGAGAGGGCACAGTCCTCTCTCTCATGGCCACGGGCACGTCCCAGCTCGAGGGCAGAGCCCTCCCAGCACAGTCATAGCCAACGGCCGTAGCTGTGAGCTTGAGCCTATGGTCCGAACATGGGGCCCCAGTGCCTTGTGATGGAGTTCAGGTGCATGTAGTTGAGTGAGGTTGAAACTCACGAGAACGCTGGAAACAACGTGCTCACGCCCCTACTTTGCCTCGTGGCATCTGCTATAAAATAAAGGCACGGCTTGTGGGCGCCGGCGCTGTCTCCTCATCAGGGAGCAGCGTCCCACCGAGCCCCAGCTGTCATTCCCTTGTCTGTCTCTTCTGAGCCTTTCACCCCCCACCCAGGATCACCTTGGCTGTGCTGGCCCAAGTGCTGCCCGAACAGGGCTGAGTTCGGGGGAATTTAAAAGTGGTCCGGTGAAAGGAGGCTCCAAGGCGCGCAGAGAGTAAGCTTAAAAAGCAAAAGTGAGATACGGCCAAAAAACAAAAGGAGGGTACGGAGGAGCCGGGTGTGGTAAATTAGCTCGGTGTAAAACGGGACAAGGCTTAACTGAGGCATTTTTAAAGTCGGCATTTTTAAATTTCTAAGGTAGAAATAAGCAGAAGCAACTTAGAGATTGCTAGATAGCTGAAGGCCCAGAGAAAATTCCTGCTTCTGTCTTCAGTTTGTGGTCCGTGATTCGGGGCTACCTCGAGCCCCTTCCCGAAAAGGGATGGATGAATGCGGCAGGAGATGTAAGACAAATGGTAGAGAGTGACCAGAGGCTTCGACTCCATTTACACCTTCGGCACCTCCATCACCTCCTCCAGTCCCTGGGGCTACCGTGCCTGTGGGGGAAAGCCCTCTGGACAATGTGCTTCCTCAGAAAAACTAACGAGAATTGGAGGAGGAGGCAGAGAGGGAACAGCGCAGGCGGGACTGGGATGATGGGGTCTAAGACCAGCCTTCGGGAAGCTTCCTGTCACTCATAGCCTCTCCAGTCGCCTCTGAACAAGCAGGAGCCAGAGTGGGATCTGTGTCTACTCCAGCGTCTCTGCATGAGGCTAGGCAGGCTGGGGAAGACACTTCAGGATTTAGTAGCCAATCGTACTCTGAAAACGCAATTACTAAAACAAAAAGGGGGAGAAGAGGTTGTGTTTGTGTCTTTCCGGAAAGAGCAGTACAATTTGGGTGCCAGAACGATACGTGATACGTGCGACACCACAATGGACCCAGAGAAGCTCCTTGTCCCTCCGTTCAAGAGACGGAGAGTTGCCCCAATGACAGCAAAGAGGAAGAAAAAGAAAACAAAGGCTACACTAGGGGCCGAGGTGCCAAGATGGGGTCAGCGGAAGCAGCTAACCACTGAGGCCCAGCAAATGGCAGAAAAGCAAGGAGTGGAAGCTACGCCTTCAGCCCTGTTCATGGCTGTTAGTGTAGAGCAATAAATAGAGAAGTGAGCAGCAGAAAATAAGCGGCAGAAATGTAGAAATAAGCGGCAGAAAATAAGTAGGCATAAGCTGTAGAAATAGAGAAATAAACAGGGGTTGCAACCCAGGAAAGGTTTGGGCAAGGGCAGCCAGGCCTACCTATAGTTCATAGTTAGAGGTAGAGAAATAAGTAAAACATAAGTGGTAGGAAATAAGCTGTAGAAATAGAGAAATAAGTAGAAATAAGCTGTAGAAATGTAGAAATAAGCGGGGGTTGCAACCCAGGAAGGTTTGGACAAGGGCAGCCAGGCCTACCTATAGTTCATAGTTAGAGGTAGAGAAATAAGTAGAAAATAAGCAGTAGAAAGTAAGTGGTAGACGTTAGAAATAAGCTGGAGAAATAGAGAAGTGGTAGAAAATAAGTAATTAGGAGGTACAAAATAAGGTAGAAATCTCCTAGGTTTTGTTGAAGCCACTGTAAAGCAGAAGATGGCTGTGGTTGCTATTGTTTAAGGAAGTAATTTTTAAAAAAATATATTTTATTGATTTTTTACAGAGAGGAAGGGAGAGGGATAGAGAGTTAGAAACATCGATGAGAGAGAAACATCGATCAGCTGCCTCCTGCACACCCCCGACTGGGGATGTGCCCACAACCAAGGTACACGCCCTTGGCCGGAATCGAACCCGGGAGCCTTCAGCCTGCAGGGCGACGCTCTATCCACTGAGCCACACCGGTCAGGGCAGTAATTTTTATTTTAGACCTAGATCGTAAGCTCTTGCAGCAGTTGCATTGTTTCTAGGCTTTGGTTATCTTTGCTCGTGCAACCAGATAGCTCCCTGGGACTTTGGGTCTGTGTGAGACGCCAGACTCGGAGTTGGAAGACTCCAGCTCTGCAGGACCGAGGGTTGCTCGTTTCCATGCAGCCGCGGCTAGAGAAAGAGCCCGAGAAGGGACCAGACTTCCACCTGTGCAGACGGTGCTGGTTTGACTGGGACTGGTGCGGACTCAGTGCCGAGGACAACCGTCCAAACAGCCTGATCCAGGGCACTAGCTTTGCATCGGCGACATCCTTGCATCGGCGGGATATCAGCATGGAGTCAGCTGGAGAAGATGGCGACTGAGGCCAAGCAGATGTTAGAAAAGCAAGTGGAAGCTATGCTAGCGTTGGTGAACTGTCAGTTTTCTGAAAAATCTTGCGGAGCTAAATCTAAGGACTTTGAGTAAGATGTCCTGAAAACGTTAACATGTTTGTAGTTTGGTTTTGCATTGGTATTGCTTTGTTATTAGCCAGAGTTTTGTTCTCTTGTTAACATTGCTGTGTTTATGGTTTTGTTAATAGCCAGAAGTAAGTTTAATATTTCCTCCATGATCTTCAGCTTTATGCTGAATCATTTGTTTACAATTTTTTGGATAATTAAATAGGCGTGTTTAAAAACAAAAGTAAAGGGGGATATATGGGGCACGGTTACAGTGTTCGGACAGGTTCAAGCCTCGGACTGATGAGAAGGCACAGTCCTCTCTCTCATGGCCACGGGCACGTCCCAGCTGGAGGGCAGGGCCCTCCCAGCACAGTGATAGCCAACAGCCGTAGCTGTGAGCTTGAACCTGTGGTCCGAACACGTGGCCCCGCGTGCCTTGTGGTGGAGTTCGGGTGCATGTAGTTGAGTGAGGTTGAAACCCAC